TTTATTGATTGAATCTACATTAAACTAAAGCTGTATTTCCCCATTCATATGACTGTAATGAATTATTGAACAGATTATTAATAACTAATCAGAGAGCATTTTACTGAGCTCAGTGTAAAGTTTAGTGTTTAGGCCTACAGTAAATGTAATATTAGAGGCATGTCTGCGGCGAGACGGCAATACTGTGTCTAAAATTACACTATTTCTCTGATCAGAAAACAAACACAATTATCCAGGAGCAACACTGTGTTAAATTTGAGCAAATACACATCAACAAATGTCCTATTCAGCTGCAGGAGCACAGGGATTTACAGGGATTTGAGTTATTTTCCAGGATAAACTGTAAAGCAAATGAAGTAGATTATTAAATAAGTACAAATGTTGTTTGTGTGAGTAAAAAGTCAAGAAAAATTTGTTAAATACATTTAGAAATGCTGAAATAAATGAGCAAATAAGGAAACAGAACACTGCCGCCGCGTCCCCATGCAGTAATATGGTGTATCAGCGATCTCACAGGGGGACGATATGGCCAGCTAAAGATTTTCTGTTAAAGCAGGGCAGTGATTCACTAAACTGATCTGAGTCTTCAGTGCAGACTGATGTGTGTCTTCTGTGATCAATCAATGAATACTCACAGAGCTCTTCTGCAGTTTCTCACAGCTGCTGTCAGTCTCCATCTTCCCTCAGCTGATGTGTTGAATTTATTAAAGTCTAACTCATCCAGCGGCTCCTCTGACATCTCAATCATGTAGGAGATTGTTGAGCAGTGAGCAGGAGAGAGTTCCTCCTCTGAGTGTTTGTCTGATTTCACAAACTCCTGAATCTCTCTGGCCAGAGTCTGATCTTTCACCTCCAGCAGACAGAGGAACAGATTGATGGATCTTTCAGCTGAGAGAGGGTCATCATCTCTCTTGATCTCGTCTTTAATGTACTGTGTGATTTCTCTGATGTTCTCTGAGCTCTTCTCTGTGTGTGTCAGCAGATCCTGGAAGAGTCTCTGATTGGACACCAGTGAGACGCCCAGCAGGAACCGCAGGAACAGATCCAGATGACCATTACTACTCCTGACAGCTTTATGTACTGCTGAACTGAGCAGATCATACAGAGACTTAGAGCTGGACTGTAGATAATGATTATATAAATATTCTCTCTCATAAATCACCCTCAGCGGTTTTCTCTTCTTTGTTAAATGGCAGTAAAACACAAAGAAAGCAGCCAGAAACTCCTGAAAGCTGAGATGGATAAAGCTGTAGACTTTCCTCTGATGAATCACAGATTCCTCCTTGAAGATCTCAGTGCAGATCCCAGAATACACCGAGGCGTCAGTGACGTCTACGCCGCTCTTAATCAGGTCCTTCTCATAGAACATCACATTGCCCTTCATCAGCTGTCTGAAAGCCACTTCAGCAAGTTTGAGGATCACTCCTCTGTTGGACTGCAGGAGTTTCTCTGAATCTCTCTCTTCATACTTCTGCTTCCTCATGTTGATCTGAATCAGCAGGAAGTGGATGTACATCTCAGTCAGAGTTTGAGGGATTTCTGCACTCACATCTTCTTCCAGGAGCTTCTGAAGCACAGTGGAGGAGATCCAGCAGAAGACGGGTATGTGGCACATGATCTGGAGGCTTCTTGCTCTTCTGATGTGGGAGATGATTCTGCTGGCTTGATGCTCGTCGCTGATTCTCTTCCTGAAATATTCCTCCTTCTGAGGCTCAGTGAATCCCTGAATCTCTGTCAGACGCTTGATGTATCTGGAGGGGATCTGATGGGCTGCTGCTGGTCTGGAGGTGATCCAGATGAGAGCAGAGGGAAGCAGATCTCCTTTCAGGAGGCTCCACATCAACACAGCCACTGATGAAGATTCAGTCACAGCACAAACTTTCTCCTCATCTGAAAAGTTGAGTGTGAGTCTGCTTTCATCCAGACCATCAAAGATGAACACAACTCTACACTGCTCATAAATCTTGGGCTCCAGATCTTCAAGTTCAGGATGAAAGTCCAGCAGAAGTCTGTGAAGACTGTACTGATGATCTCTGATCAAGTTCAGCTCTCGAAATGGAAGCACAAACATGAAATCTACATCCTGATGGTCTTTTCCCTCGGCCCAGTCCAGAATGAACTTCTGCACAGAGACGGTTTTCTCGATTCCAGCGATGCCTTTAGTGAGAACAGTCTTGATCTGGGCTTTCTCCTTCCTGATCTTCTCCTCATGTCCTGCTCCAGCTGAGGCTTTAAAGATGTCATTGCAGTAGACTGGAGTGTGTTGTGAGGGTTTTGTTCTGGCTCTTTTCTCCATCTGTAAAACCTCATGTTCTTCATTCACTCCTTCACTCTCTCCTTCTATGATGTAGAGCTGTGTGTAGATGCTGTTCAGGAGGGTTTGAGTCTCTCCATGGTTGATTCCCTCAAATAATCTCTCATACTTGTTCTTCATGCTGGTTTTGTGCTGCTCTTTGACTCTCTGAAGTTCATCATGTTCTGGTTGGAGTGAATCCTGCTGCAGGTCTCCAGTCTGATCATCTCCATCCACACTGCAGGAACAACAACAACACAAAGAGTCAATGAGTGCGAGTGTAAAGATCCTCTAGCAAAGCAGAGTGTGTGTTTCTCTGAACCAGCTGAGACACAATACACAAATTTAATCAGATTTAACTAAACACCGCACGCTGATCACTTTGAACACCACACACTGATCACTTTAAACACCACACACTGATCACTTTAAACACCACACACTGATCACTTTAAACACCACACACTGATCACTTTAAACACCACATACTGATCACTTTGAACACCACACACTGATCACTTAAACACCTCACACTGATCACGTCTACTGTTCTAAATGCTGTAAACATTTAACACTCTTTTGTCAATTATTAAATGTAAGACTTCAATAATTTGATATCATTAATTTACAATGATTTTGGATGCTCACGGAAGACATTTAAAATATTTTAAGATTAAAATGTGTAAAGTCCTCGAGCACAAGCATGAGGACAAAAGCTCCTAGATTATCTGTTCAGCTGCTGTAGTGTGTAATGTTGTAATGTTGATAGTTCTGATACTAATAGTATTTTTTTGTTATTTGTATGCTGATTTAAATGTTTTTAACTCGAATGAATGGGTGTTGTCAGTAGTAATCAGCTATAGATCACATATGGCTGTAAGTTAACAATAATTATTTACATTACTTATAAAACCCCCATTAATTGCGTTTTATTAAAGTCTACCCCTCCCCCTACCCTAAACCCTACCATCACAGTAATGTAAAAACAGATCTGAGTCTACTCTATTAGAATAGCTGATTAACCATGTGGATGGATGATAACTGCCCACTAAGCCTACAAGTAGGTGCAGAAGGTCCCTACTTAACCATATCTATCAGCTGATAAACACTGATAATGCCCATTCAATAGAGTGATCATTTGAGTGAACATTTGATTGGGTGTTGCATTGTGCCATCTACAGTTCTGAAGGTTGTTGTGATCTTATACCGGTTAAATGTTTTGCCATCAATAAGAAAATCATAATTCTCTGCATCTGTGCTGTCTGAATCTTCAGCATGTGTTTGCTCTGCTTCTGTCTTCTGTCAGCTCACTTTCTGACTGAATATAGTTTTTAATTCTTACATTAATCTCCAGATCATACAAGCGTATGCTCTCAGAGTTCAGTAACAGCACTGTAATATTGCTGAACTTTATTAAGATAACAATAAACAAAGAAGATCTGAATACATTTTTATCTTAAATCAGTATCTCTTTTTGACCATAATTATATATCAGGTGAAATGTGGTGTGTTTGTCTCACACAACTTGTTCATTACCAGTGTCTAAAATCTCTTTCTTTTCCCACACTTTGCTGACTATTGTATAAGCCTGTAAACTCACTCTACTAACTCTAACAGTTTGAGTATTAATGCTTCAGTCACTTATTACTACCTCAGTACTTCACTAATGATCAGATGTGAGTGTGTGGACATTTAGTTTTAAAGTCTCCTGTTATTGTAATTCAAAGATAATGTCTGATCTTCTAGAAACACAGGATCATATAAATGCTGCAATGTGATCATGTGTGTAGAGATGATCTACCTGACAGCAGGTCGTGTGTTTTCACTCCTAAATGTTATTGGTTGGATCATAGACTTGTCACTCTTCATAGACACACAGCTGGGCTCTGCTTCTGCTCTCTTCTGATGAACCAAACTAAAACAGAGAAGATTAAAGTTAAGCGCTGCACACACTGCACAAACCTGATATTAATCATTCTTCATTTACAAAAACACTTAAATTCATTTCCTTTATATTTGAACAGAAACTGTCTGAATGTGGAAAATATCAGCAAACACAGATCAAGGCTCATTTCTTGTAGAGAAAGCCCAACAGAAATGCAGCACTATTAGAGCAGATTAGAGCTGAAACTAATCATCGAATAACTGAATGAAGTCCACAGTGTAGGTGTGGGAGAAGCTTAATCATGCAGGCGTGTCAATCATCATCACATGACTATATAAGCAGCAGTATAAACTGCACTGTGTCAGCTGACTGTTATTCCCGCCTCCAGCAGCTCCCCTTATCCTCCTCCTCATCACTCAGTCTTCAGAAGGTCAGTCATCGGGGGTTTGTCTGCAGAGCTCCAGTCCAGACTTTGAGGACAGCAAGACAAGTTCATTTACCATCATCTATCATGACTGAATGAGCAGGAGAACTCGAGAAATATCAATTCTAGAAACCAAATGTGTTGATCAGCAGCATCTATGAGGCCAACACAACATGATGATGACTGCGCTTCAGTGAAAACAGACTCAGATCAGAGGAATGGCTGATCAGTACAGCACAGAAACAGCAGGGGAAAGTGTGCAGGAAAAGCCCTTAATGGCAGGAGATCGGGAACACTTTAGTTTAGCTCACAATTCATACTATTAACTACCGGCTTATTATCTGTGTAATGTGAACATATGAACTGCTCATTAGTAGTCATACAGTATGATCTTATTGTGGATCCCTAACCCTACCCAAAACCTAAACCCACCTTCTACCTCACTAACCATTAATAAAGCGCTGATTGGTTTGTTAACACCATCAATTGTGGCCTGAAGTGTAAAGCGGAGATCTTCAAGCACTATCCTGCAGAGCTCAGATACAACATCTAACATCTGAAACCCAACAGATCCACAACACTAATTACCTGATTCATTTATTATGAAAATACTCATCAGTTGCAGATATTAAAGAGATGATCTACCTGACAGCAGGTCCTGTGTTTCCACTCTTAAAATGTATTGGTGGGTGCATAGACGCGTCACTCTTCATAGACACACAGCTGGGCTCTGCTTCTGCTCTCTTCTGATGAACTGAACTAAAACAGAGAAGATTAAAGTTCAGCGCTGCACACACTGGAGTCAACACAGCAGATTTATTCAACATTTCATCATTAAAACACTGTTTAAACAGCACTTCATGATACTTTTCATGATGATTGTACACAATCTTGCTGACTGATTGTGTTAAATATTCAGACAGAATAAAAACACAACTAACAGAGAGTAAATATAATATCCTGTAGAAAATAATCATATGAAATGTCAAGTGTAGGACTAATACCTGCATCCTGTAGACAAATCCTGATCTCCAGCAGTGTGTGTGTTACCCATGATGGACCTGAAGAGTTTGATCTTCAGCAGAAACTGATGAACAATCACAGATCTCCAGTCATTGATCAGCCTTCATAATTCAGCTGAATGCAGGAATAGATCAGCAGCTGAGACACTCAAATCCAGAAGCTCATCACGAGTAAACTAATGAAGAATCACAGCGTCATCCGTTTGATTATAATAACATCATACACACATTCACATAAAGCTTACAGGTTTAGTCAAGACATTAAAGATTTAAAGCTGTTCTGCGCTGGTAAATGGTGGATTCTGTCGGTTTAAAATGGCGACACAACAACTAAACACTTTCACTTTCGTTTCTGAAGGAGCGGCAGATCATGAGTTCAGTGAAAAACATCCGTCACAAACACTCTAAACAGAGCAGAGAAGAGTCAAACAGCTGCAGGGTTATCAAAGCACCTGCGGAGGTACATTTTACTAGGGTAATTTTACCTGAAGCAGTATAAACACTGGACACAGAGAAGACAGAACAACACATACCCGGATATCCTCCGCCGCCTCCTCCTCTTCTTCTTCTTCTTGTGTGGCGAGTTATAGAAAGCAGCGTAAAGCTGAATACTGCCACCTGCTGTACTGGAGTGTGTATAATACTAATATGTTTACAGTTTGGTCAAATCAGTGTCATAGAGCTCAATGTAGATTTGTAGAAAATAAAATGACTGCTTTCACATATATACTCTAATCTATATACTCCAATCTTTCTTTATGAAGTCTAGCACAGCTTGTGTTATATTCCCCATGTGTGACTGCTCTGATGAGAACAGCTCAGGCGTTGAGAGGCTCAGGAGTTGTCCTGTTGTGTCGCTGCTCTGATAATCCTCTCGTGTGTAACTGCAGATGAAAGCATCGTGTCTCTGTAGTGGTTTAAAAATCAATATGATCATTAAAATATACTGTTAAATAAATTGGAATCATTAAAAATAAATAAATACAAAGAAGAGTTAAAATCGATATGATTTACACAACGATGTGTTGCTCTTTGTATTGAATAACTGCCTGAGAAAATGACTTGGAGTGTCCGCTAGGGGGTGGTCTAGAGCTGCAGATAGTAGGCGTTGTTTAACTGCACTGTGGCCTTTTTTGTTTGTTTTTAATTGCATAACTGTCAGGAACAAACACACAACACAAATAATGAAACACACAAAAAGAATACAACAATGGTAAAAGTCAACAAAAAACAAAGATAAATAAATAAAAAAATAAATTAAATGACACAAAGTATGGTGTACAGCATTTCTACATTCAATGAGTTTAGGAATTGACAGGGGATTCATAAAAAGTGTCATAATATTTGATGCACATCTCATTTTTTTAAACAATATCACTGTAGAAATAAACATTTCAAACTCAATAAAAAAACGGCGGTTAATGTGGGAGAAGATTTAGCAGATTTCTGTTTGTGTATGTAAAACTTTGCCAATAAAATAAAGAGATTAACAATATATTCAAGACATTTGTTGCATTTGTTTTCATAATGAAAAATTACATCTTTTAATGTAAAATAATAACTAAGTTTTGTCCTTTCACAAATATATTTGGCTGATTTTTCCAGAAATTATTTACAATGTTGCATTCAAAAAACAAATGGCAAAGGCTCTCTTCATCAACAGATATCCTCCATTTCAATGCGCTTTGATAAAAGAGATTTTACTGGGTAAATTTTATGTAATATTTTAAAATGGATTTCCTTCATTTTATTATTAATAGAATATTTGAAGGGAGTTAACCAGGCTTTTTTTGCAATTAATATTAACTATAATAGAGTTCCAGAGAAATGTGCCTCTAGGAGTGATTTTATTTTGCTTCTAAAAAAAATATTACGAATATGTCTGTTAGTACATTTATTATCAGTCAACTCATCACCTTCTAAATGTAGTTTTGGGTTTACAGCAGATTATAGCAAATATGATTTTTAACAAGTTGAATCATTTTTACAGGGATAGATTTAATTCAATTCTCTAAACAATATTGGGAAATTGTAAGTAGACATGAAATGTTCATAGGATAGGATATTCCCTGCACTGTCAAACAGTGTTAAAAGATGATTAATGTCTCTATTAAACCAATTTACTAAGAATTAAGATTTATTTGAAGAGCTTATATTACCATTATTCCAAATAAAGGAGAAACATTGTGACAGTAAGAGATTTTCCAAGCAAGAAGAGCTTGTTGATGGAATTTAGTGAAAGTAGTGTGTGTGTGTGTGTGTGTGTGGATGTTTCCCAGAGATGGGTTGTGCCTGGAAGGACATCCGCTGTGTAAAAACTTGCTGGATAAGTTGGCGGTTCATTCCGCTGTGGCAACCCCAGATTAATAAAGAGACAAGGCCGACAAGAAAATGAATGAATGAATGATTCCAAAAGGAATTGGGGGTAGATAGACATCTCTTAATCCAATTACTCTTGAATGTCTTATTGATATCTTCAAAATAAAGCATTTCTAGTCCTTCTTCAGCTTTCTTATTAGTAAGAACTCTTTTTTTATACTTTGGGACTTGTTTTTCCAAATAAAAGAAAAGAACAAGTTATTGATATCTTTGCAATTAGAGTCTTTAGGAAATAAAGACAAGGCGGGATAAACAAATGGAGATAAACCTTCAGCTTTACATAAAAAGACACCACCATAAATGGAAAGGTCACGCTGTAACCAGCAATTTAACACGGCTTTTGTTTTCTTTATTCTAGAAGAAACATTTAAGTCTTGTCTATTAAGTGTATTTTTGTTACAATATTTCTAAGGTATTTGACAGAGGATTTCACTGGGATGTTCATTATGTGTTTATTCCTTAAACTGTGTAAAGGCAGAATTTCACATTTGAAAAGATTTCAAGTTAAACCGGAAGCCTTTGAAAAAGTATTGCTTAAAGAAATAGCATCAGGGATAACAGAAGCGTGTTTGAAGAATAAGGTCGAGTCATCTGTAGATTGAGAAAACTTAAAAACTCTATCAACTTTTTGAGACCTTGAATTTGCTCACTATTGATAATACCAATTGCCAATAATTCAACAACTGATACAAATAAAAATGGGGAAATTGGACAACCTTGACGTACTCTACGATAAATGTTAAATCTCGTAGTTGTAGAAGTATTTATGATTACAGAACTATTAATATTGGTGTAAAAAAAATGATGACTTTTAGAAATTTATTCCCAAAACCAAAACACTCTACAGTTTAAAAAAAAAAAAAAACTGTGTTCAACGGAGTCAAATGCTTTAAATCTAAACAAAGGATAATAGCTTCATCATCTCCATAATCAGCATAATCTAAGAGATCAAGCACTGGCCTAATATTATTAGTTATGTGGCGACCTTTTAGAAAACCTGTTTGACATTCACTTATAATACTATTTACCTAATCTATTAGCAAATACCAAAGTTATACGTTCATAATCAATTGATAGAAGTGAGATCGCTCTCCAGTTTTCTATCAATTGTGAATCTTTGTCAGGTTTAGCAATTAACGAGATGACTTCCTGATTCATGGAGGTAGACATTTCACCACTATTAATAAATTCAATAAACATGTTATAGAGGATTTTCAATGTGTTCCCAAAAATTCTACAGTCAACCCATCTATACCAGGAGCTTTACCCTTTTCATTTTAGGTAGTGCATCATTTAATTCAAGAGTGGCTATATTTGAATGACATAAATCATTAAAGTCTTCATCTATAATAGGAATATTTTGATTCATTACTTTAATGAAGTTATCACAATTATTTTCATCAAAATTGGAGGTATATAAGTTTTATAAAAGGAAAAAACATGATTCGAAATTGCTTTGGGATCCATACAAAGGCTTCCATTAATATTTATTGCAGCTAACAAATTTCTTTTAAAGTTTCTTTTTTCTAGAGCAAAGAAATAACTTGTGTTTTTTTTTTTTTTTTCTCCCTCTTCAAGCCATTTGGCTCTAGAGCGAAGGAAAGCACCTTTAGCAATATCCAGGAACATTAGATCAAGTTTAGATAGAATTTTAGTCAACTCTTCCTCATCTTCCTTAGAACGAATTTCCTTCTGTTCCAGAATATGTCAATTATCCAGTAATTCCATTTCCTTTTGCTTGTTGATTTTTTAAAATTCTTTTCTACGTATTATGGCAATTTTTCTTACATTATATTTAAAAAGTTCCCAGTTACTTTTGAATTTATCTTTTAATCCTGCAAAAGTATTGCTTGCAATATTCTTAACACAGGCATTAAAGTAATTATCATTAAGAAGATTATTATTACATTTCCAATATCTTCTAAGACTAGAATTTTCTTTTAAACCTTTAAGAGATAAATAAACAAGTTTATGATCTGTTAATGGAGCATGTCTATGATTAATTTCCTGAACATAACGTAAAGCTGTGTTAGAGATCAGACATAAGTCAATTCTAGATTGTAAAGTCTTGCTTTTGTTAGACCATGTGTACTCTGATTTCACAGGGTTATAAAAGCGCCAAGTATCTGTAAGTAATAATGAGGCACAAAGAGATGCCAGATTGGATTGACCAGCATGTTGGAGGGTACGAGAGGGATATCTATCAATCAAACCATCTATACAGTCATTAAAATCGCCTGAACATATAATATAATATATGAAGCATGAACATTGCTCGATTTGTGATTAAGTCTGAAATTTTGGCAAAAAAAGTCTTATTCAACAAATTAGAATTATAACCATAAACATTACAAATGATAACTGTTGTGTTGTCCAGTCTAATAGTCAGAATCAACCATCTTCCATTTACATCTGCAACAAAGTCAAGTACATCTCCTTTAAATCGATGCATCAAAACCATTACACCTGCAGATTGTGGAGTTCCATGACTAAAGTAAACAGAGTTTCCCCATTGTGATTCCCAAAATTTCACATCCAAGACCGAGGAATGAGTCTCTTGACAAAAAACAAAGTCGGCATCAGTTCGTTTCAAAGAAGAAGAAATAAAGAAATAAAGCTTTCCTTTTCGTGTTCTCTCGAATACCCATTACAGTAATTTACTCTATATACCATTACAGATATTTACTTTGATAATAAATGGGAAATTACTGTTCAACCATAAACAACATTGCTAAATAACTAGTAAAAATGTTTAGAAAATATATATATATACATGTATATATCTTAAACAGCACGCACATACATTTTTGCAGAGACGCAATGAATTTGTCTGGAAAACTTCAAATGAAGTAAATAAAAGTGGCATTAACAGTATAGTATAAAGGCTTTCCTAAATAAATGTATAAATCATGTTATTTTTTGTGTTTTTTATTATTACTACAGATTTGGAAAGACATGAGAATCAGATTATTTATTATTATTATTATTTTTTTTGCTTTGGATAAAGTTTGTATATTTTTATTGTTTTTATTAAACGTTATGTGCATAATTGTGATACATGTAGGCAGTTGCTTTGAAAATATGCTATGTACCAGGGATGTCAAACTCCTGGAGGGCCGCAGCCCAGCAGAATTTAGTTCCAGCCCTGCTTCAACACGTTATCTTTAGATTTAGTTTGATCAGGTGTGTTTAATTAAGGTTAAAGCTTAACTGCACTCTTACCCTGTAGATTATGCAGTAGATGACTGTAAAATAGCCAGTGTTTTGCTGTAATGAAAGAAACAGTATTTTACTGTAAAAGGAGCAGACTTTGTATTAAATTGTGTAGTGCAAATGATAAATTACAGTAACTTACTTTACGTACACATTACAGGTAGTAACTGTGACAATAAATGGCAAATTACTGTTCAACCAGTACTGTCCCATCTACTCTGATGCT